GGAGCCTGGAAGCATGCCCTCGCTCGCATTGAGCCTCGCGCCACTGGCATCCTGAATCTCCTTGATCTTCGCCCCGCCTTTGCCAATGACCGATCCCATTCGGGAGTTGGGGATCATGAACTTGATAGTCACGGCACGACTTCCTGGGACAGACGCCTTGTCAAAAGGTTCATCGTTGATTCTCCGTACGATGAGACCAAACGCCTAGCAGGTGAATCAGCAACAAACTCGTTCACAATAGTGATGATGGTTACCTTTGACACTGCGTCCAGAGGACCGCTTACATTCAAGATTCTCTCAGGGTTGCCAGGGATACTCTCCGAGACCATGACCCTTGCCCCACTCTTTTCACGAATCTCATTGACATGAGAACCAGCCTTGCCAATGATGATGGAGGCGTCCTGGGTGACGATGAGGCACCGCATGTGGATGTTGGCGGCGGGGGGTCCAGATGAGCCTGTTCCAGATGGTCCTCCTCCGGAGGTGATGGCGGAAGAGTCGGCGTCCCCTTCGACCTTGGGATTGTCCGTAGCTCCCGAGTTGTCGTCACGAGTATGACGGGGGGAAGGCGTCGAAGCAGCCGTATCGTCTACGGATGTATGCGTGTCCATGTTGGCATCCTTGTTGGTGTGGGGGTTGGGAGGAAGCCTAGCAGGTAAAGACCTTGCGTGTGAGTCATCCGAGTGAGAATGGGCGGCGCCTGTATTGGCACGCTTGTTCTTTGGCTGGTCAGTATCGGAGGGAGAACGAGATCTCTTCCGTGTCGAGTCAGTTTCTGGCATGATGCGATTTCAGTTTTCACGGGGGCAGGTCAATGTCCCGTCAGCACGGTTCAGAGAATAGGATGGGAGTTTGGAGGGAAGGTTGTGACAGTAGATTCTGAATGGGAGGGAGTGTGGATGGTGAGGAGGGGGACTTGGGAGGAGGGATTGAGAGTCGCGCCGCCATTTATGCGACTTACCTAGGTGACAACCGTAGGAGGTGGCTAGGATATGTTCAGCGACACGAACGACACAGACAACAGCGAGGACGCTGGTTTGGCCGTCGTCGAGGGTGATAATGAGGGGGTGGACGATGGTGGTGACGGTGAGGGATGCCTGGTCGACGCCGATGTGATTCCCGCCAAACAACCCACATCTCCGGCATTTCCCGGTCACAATCCATTCCCGTCCTCCATCGTACAGAAATGCATGTAACCCAAAGGATTCTGCATCGTTAATAGCCAGCAAACACGCACAGAGCACCCACCGTGGCCACAACCGTGAACACAAACTGAGGGGCTGCTCGCAGGTCCCGTAAAACATACATAGGGCGCAACTGGACGCAGAGAACGATGTTCTGTCACTCCGTGAACTCTGAACACTCTGGAACGAGCGGACGAAGGTAGGTCTTAGCACACGACCGTCATCATTTGGCATCACCCCCACGAAATCGATGACTGCATGGTACGACGAGCTCAATGCCACGCGTTCACAGTGTTCACATGGATATGCACAATAGCAAGCTGCGCATACGATGAGTTATTGTGTGGCCGTCAAGCTGAGAAGCTTCAAATCCGTGGAAGATAGTCGACGCGAAATCATCAATCCCGATTGGCCTTGGGAAAAGATTGAGTGGACAGAAGGGTCCATGGAGGTCCAAGCATCAACTATGCTGAACGTAGGCGAGCTAATTTACAGAACCCTGGTTAATCGTGGCGTACATCGGGCGATCTGAGGACATCGAGGCTCCAGAACAGTAGAAATCGCTGCCTGAATCTTCCCGCGGTTGAAGGAAAGCAAAGGCTAAAATGAGGATGGGAGGATGGTCGAATCATCCATTGTCCCCAGGCGCCCGAGGACCGAAAGGGGACGCTGAGTCAGCCTGTGGTTACCGTTTCCGGACGCGTGTGCCGGAGAACAAAGGATTTCTCTCTTCAAAGGCCCTCACGCCCAAACTATCCAGGGGCCAAAGCACTCATTATTCTGTTCTAGGATGATGACCGAGAAGCGAACCTGTAATGGGACCTTTAACGACAAGGCGAAAGGCCTTTTTACAAAGCAGGCATACTTTATATATCCCCCTTCGACATCATAGCACAACACTCGAACCCCCCACCTTACACCAGTCAACCTGGTCTTTCCATCTCTACGTGTGCCAGCCATGACGGTATCGATAGACATCATTCCTTTCTCCAACTCACTTGATATGTTCGGAGAGCCAGATCGCTCGTGAGTCCTCAGTTATAGTTACTTCTCTTGAGAAACAGTGGCTGACTTATACGTGCTCACAGCGCCGCATACTCGATATCAGGACATATAGTCATTTCAATGACATCTGGGTTCTCCATATTTCAACCCAGGCACGCCTTGCGCCTCCTCCTACGATCCCTCGTTATAACGTTCGAAGGCCAATCCGAGCTTTTCGTCCCCGACTCCGCCTATTCTGCCGTCCGCCTATACTCTGTTTCTCAAGAGCTCGTCTCTGCGGATTCCATTGAGCTCAATGCGGAGGATTGCGATAATCTCGACAAGCCGTGTACGTGGAATGTTGTCTTCAACCTCACTGTTCCTGGTTGGCTTCCTCCCACGTGCCTTTTCGGAGACTTCGACAATAGTGGCGAGACTGGCACTCGTTATGGCCTCTACGCGGCTGCAAAGTTTGAGAACGTTGATGATTCTCCCCGGAGCTCTTGGTTTTCTGCTTTTTGTAATCCTTTCAACTTCTACACCGTTCGTTCCGTTAAGGCTCCCAGATGTCCCATTCAACTCAATCGTTACACGTCCCCGTCGTATTTTGCTTCCACATCCACATCTCTTTTCCCGCTTTCGAACTTCAGCGTCAGGGCCGAACCAGACGATCATGAGCATAGCGACAAGTCGCCTCGCATTCCCGCGCACATCCTTTCTGCACTCCGAGTTGTATGTTCGGTCCCTGATTACATCGGCACGGGAGAGGAGCGTTTTCCATTCTCATTACGGATGCGGACCAGCGGTCTCTCTGCCGATGAGTGTGCGCGACTGAGGGTGGCACAATTTGACATAGAGTTGGAGCAAACGGAGCGTTATCGGTATGTGGACTGTTGAAGCGGCATGCGTATCGCTGAGCTGATGAGATCCACAGCACACAACCGTCGTCATCATACTGCACTCAGTATCCGGTACCACCCCGGAGCGAGCAACCTCCTCATAGGCCTCTTCTCAATCCCCACCCAGTCCACACATTGTTCGATCTTGGTGTGGGGCCCTCCCCGCCGTCACAGCACGTCCTGGCTCGGTCGTTCTCTCTACTTCCTGAAGATGTGTCGGGCCGTTATTCACTCTCTGGCGATGGCTATGTGTTTGCACAAGATGCCCAGCCCCACGACAACGTCACCTGGTTCTCGATGTCGAGCAGTGTTCCTGTCTCTCATCATGACATCCGAGGAGGCAACGATTGGAAAAATGGTAGAAGCTTGCGTGCGACCCAGCAAAGCCCTCTCTTCGGAGTTGCCCACCGCTTTCTGGTGTCGGTGGACTGCACATACGACCTTACGGATGGAGAAGAGCCCGAACGCGCCTCGGAGCGACTCCACTTTCACGTTCCTCTGTATTTCGTCCGAACCCCTCCCGCGACATCTTCCGGCTCCCGTGCTACGACGCCCTTGGGTTTCAACTCGCCATCATCTTCTGGACGGTCATCCCCATGCGACTACCCCATTCCAAGCCTCCCTTATGCACAGGCACTACCTGCATACTCTCAACTTTTCGAGTCTAACGGCGACAGGAAGATCGATTACTCAACCCCTCTCCCGCTATATACACCGAAGGACACGAACGCTCCAAATGAAGAAAATCCCATCTAGAAGACTTTCATTCTCCCGGCATAGCATCGCTCCTCAAACGCCGCTTCGCACTTTGCTGCTTGTAATATCGCTCTCCATTCGACCTTCGCTTGCTATCTATTTCTATCGCTATGTTGCACTTTCCTCCCTCCTTTCACGCTCTTTTCGCACATCGGTTGTGATGACATCCCGCAGCACGCTCTCTCACGTCTCTCCAATGCACTTCCCGCCTCTACTACCTCACTCTTTGTTGCGCGAGCGCATCACTTTTGCTGAAAATATTCGTTCGTAATCTCTGTATACTCTACAGCCTTCCAGTCAAGTACATATTACAGTGTATCATTAGGTTTTGCTGCAAGCGATGCCGTCACTATTGCCCCAATCGCACTGCAGCACCCTCAGGAACTACTGTATCACGACGAATGAGTACCAACTCAAAGAGTGGCCCGTTAGATGTGCTCACAGGGTGATAGGCTCGCCAATCCGCTTCCATGTGTCAACAGGACCATCGCACAGCATTATCCAAATCTCGTGCCCAACAAATCCGTCCAGAACGTCCACACCCCTCTCATCACCCTCCGTGCAATCCAGTCGAACCGAGCTCCCATCCGGTCCGTCGATTACTCTGTCCCGTTGCAAAATGTCTGCAACTTTCTGACGGTCCGCCGCATCGGGATCGTCAATGTAGTAAAGAGACATGTGAGGGATCGGAGGGACGGTCTTCTCTCCAAGCACATTGGACAGATGGTCCCGCAGTGCAACCAGTTCCGGTGTACGATGCACGGTCACATACACCGACATAAAATACTTGTTGCCGACATCAAGAGATTGGAATCGGATAGGCACTGTGGGCTGGGACGGCTTGACAGCATCTCGAAGAACAGATTCTGAAGTGGTAGATGGTACGGTCGTGAGGGTGATATGTGGATGGAAGTGCGGAAATGAAGATGGTGACTTCACTGTAGTGATCTCCTCGTCCATAATCCGACTAAGCTTGATGGCATCCCCGTCAGGATCCGGAACGAGCCATAAGGAAGTGCCTAGCAAAATGGGAGATCGTCAGCGAAGTAGCAAAGATACATGGTTTATATTCACCCATGATGGAGGTGTGTGGTCAACCTCGACTCGCGATGCTGCTTGCCGTATGCTGAAGGACATGCAAGTGATTATAGTAAGTGCACATTCTGCATATGTATACGGCGCTATAGCTAAGTGGTTACAGCGACAGATTAGAATTTGATCCGGGTCACGTGATTTTCGGGTCACGTGATTCCACTTCAACGACTATCTGTTCCTCTTTGAGGGCGCAGGTTCGAATCCTGCTGGCGTCGCTCTTTTTGTCGAGCCACTCGATACTCTTTTTCCACCATGTCTTGCCCATACCCTCAGTGTTCGCAGCTTTACGTTTTCCCCCCTTAGCCAGCATGCTTTTGGTGACAACGTCTTGGGTACGTGCTTGCAAATGCTCCAGGCATGTTTGGGCTGAAAAAGTCCTTCTCATTTTGACCACTTGGGTATGGCGCTTTATAAGCGCCCGCCTTCCTCACTTCCTCCAAATTCAATCTTCAACACCAAACAAGCTACGTCCGTATGTGTGTGCACTCAAACTTCACTGCTGAATCAATTCCAGCCATTTATGATCTACCTTCTCCCATCATACTTTCGGGGAAGGCTGGCGATCAGTCTGGCCAGCCATACTAGCCGCAATGGTGCGGGTGCGAATCTTCCCAACTGGTCTGGATGGAGGTCCAAACGCTGCTGGTTTGGCTAAGCTGCCGCTCAGCAATACCAGTCGATCACCTATTACCAGCCTGGCTTTGTACCCTCGTGAGATAAACAGCACTACTATTACTATGCACCCTTGTTTTCCCACTGGCTCCTCGTACTAGTAGTAGGTCCACATCAGTCCGCCTGTTCAAGACAACGTGTTGACAATGTTGTGGCGTATGGACGTGGAGACCGTAACGACGCAACAACTGCTGAGCAGAGCCCAGTCATATATCATCTCATAGGCAGAGAAAGGGAGGGGTTTAAATTTTGCCTCCTTCTACCATCCTTCCCTCGCGATGTACTTGCGAGACAGAGAAGGGTCTTGCAGGCCGCCGTCATCTCATCCGTTCGGATACGACATGGCGATGGACATTAGCAATGTTTATCGCCTTCTCCTTGATTGCGTTCCTTGGATTGCAATTTCTTGCGCATAGTGGTGACGAGCAAGGCCATGACAAGGTGCACCAAGAGCCAAACAGTGTTATTTGTGACGTGGAGTTTTCAATTTTCAATTTCATGGGGTGAGAAGGGGTTCCTATTGTATATTTACATTTGTATTACATCTGGTGGAAGGACGAAGAGCACAAATAACAATACAGAAGGGCTACGAATTGTTATACAAGCAGGGATGTGGAAGAATAGAAGATTGTCCCGATGAACCTACTGAAATGAAACCTCGCTACATTACGACCTCTCGGGAGAATGCTCGCCCTCTTTCAAACTGACCCAAGACTCTCCCACGCCGGAACCTTCGTTGCTTTCCACGTCAGCGTCAGATCCAACATCTGACGCTACATCTTGGACGTCTTGGTCAGACGAGGGAGGCGAGTCTTCGATTCGAAGACGCTGCTGTTGCGCCGGACGAGGAGCAGGCGCGACCAGCGGGGCAGAAGGTTTGGCCTCGCGTGGGATGATGTGCGGTTGGATGGGAAGCAGAGCATTGCGGATGGAGAGGAGGAAATGCGGGAGATTCAGGAGACCATCGAGGATGATGCTTGGTAGATAGGACGCAAGGACGTATGTACGGGCTGTGCAAAGTTGTAGGTACGAATCCACGATTCAGTACGGGTAAAAAAACGCACCTCCAGAACCTACGACGACGCGATCACCACGAATCCATTCCCGCAGGCGTCCCAGGCCTAACCCGATCTCAGATATGAATCCAGAGCCTCCAGACCGGAAGAACTTTCCATCATGGACGACATCCACAACAGTTCGAACGAACGAGGACACATGAGAAGGTTGTCTGGTTCGACCAAACTGAGAACCAAGAGATGAAAACGCCGTGCCATAGGCTGCCCGCTCTGAAGGAGTCCAGTTGTCGATGCTTGCGAGAACCTCCGTCGTTGCAGGTTGTTCCGATTGAGCACCGACTGCACCAACGTCCACGATAACAACCTTGATGTTCTTCATGGAATCAGTGCCGGTGCTAGCGACTTGAATCTCTCGACGCAATATTTCGACACCGCGAAGCGTGGCAGCAGCGCTCATGCCTTGAGCGGACATGAAAGGCAAGCCAACCCGGGCATCTGTCGCAGGGAGGCAGAAAACGATGCTCTTCCTGCCTGAGTTGTTAGCAAGCGCGTCCCGCGCTCTCGCAGAGGAATTGCGTAAGAGCGGTAGGAGGGCTTGCACGACAAGTAGAGGCGTGATATGGGTGGACTGAAGATACGCGGAGTAATCTTCTCGGAGAGATAAATGCTCCAATGGCGCCGGGATGGGTACATCGTACCGCGAAGGAAGGGTCAACAGTGAAATAACAGAATGAATGTATGGGTAGGCGGAGGGAGAAACGTGAGGGTCTCCCGCGGCGGTGATGGGGAAACGGCGAGACATAGTTGAGGATAACGATCGTAGGAAGAAGGGGATCATTTCAGGCTTTGTGTATTCGTTAGGTAGGGTTCTCCGTCGCTTGTAAAACGAGATGAAACTCACCTCAGTTGGGTCTAATACCAAAGCACGGACATATCCATGACATTGTTGTTCAACCACATCAACAGCTTCAGGTGACGAGACACTGGTGATCACAATGTAGCCTTGCTTCTCGAGATCAAGAATGAGAGAAAGTCCAAGGGAAGAATCGCCTCCGAGAACCACTATACTCAAGTTCAGAGAAGTTACAAGGATTTTTAGGGGCAATGGGTACATACCGACAACCTGCCTCCTTTCCGTACTACCAGATGTCTTGACAGTCCTTCTTGTTTTCGAGTGGTGTTGCAAATGCAGTGCACTGTACCCCGCATATATACCAACACCAATAACACCAGCACCAATCAAAGCGGTGGAACATTTGTGCTTGGCCATCCATCCCGCGCAGTTATTGAGCCACGACGTCGGCGGAGGTGGAGGAGGGGGCGGTGGTGGCGGCACTTCAAATGCTCCTAGTCCCGGTATGTGCAGGTCGGGAAGAGAGGGCAGAGCTTGAGGGCCATGGCGCAGAACATCCTCCCAAAGACGTTGGACGGCCTCTCTTACATTCGGCAGATCGGGAGTTGCTGCAGATAACGACGCGAAGAAGAGCTCTTCGACGGCATCCAGGTAGCCTTCGATCTGCTCTATCGTCGGCACTATCACAGGCATCGTGCAGGATGATGTTGCGGACGTTGAGGACGATGATGAGGGAGGTGGGAGAGTCGGAAGGCCTGCTTATGGGCTCTGACTGGGAGCTGAGGCAAGCGCGGAGACACAACCGTGCCGGGACGACGCGTGCCCGGCTAATGACACCACGTGACGGTCTCGACGCGTCGCGAGTCTGCCAGAGTGGCCGCCATAACAGACAGACACGGCAAAGCAACAAAGTCTATATGGATGGGACAGATACAGCGAAGCAACCAATTCTACAGCAACATTACCATTACATTCATTTCTGGAACCCATAGTGTACACCTAGCTTAGTCCCCAACCATTGTGCAAACCGATCGTATCGCCTCCGTGAGTTGGCGTACTTGGTGAAGTATGTTCTTCAGAGTGACCATTGGCCCCATTGGCCACGTTTCTGTTCACTCCTCCACCCCCCTTTCCCTCAAGCGTTCCAAGGCTACCGACAAGCATTTTCCCCTTGACGTTGTCTGCTCGGAGTTTCTCCAATCCCTGAAGGTACGCTTCGTCGACACCACCAGTGACATATTCCCCAGTGAATACCGAGCAGTCAAATTCCTGAATCTTGGGGTTGAATTGCCGCACAGACTCGATGAGATCAGGGAGAGTTTGGAAGATGACGAGGTCAGCGCCGATAGTTGACGCAATATCCTCGGTCGATCGGTCGTGCGCAACGAGCTCCATGCGAGAAGGCATGTCAATACCATACACGTTGGAGTGTCTGATTGGTGGCGCGCAACTGGCGACAATGACCTTCTTTGCGCCTACGTCCTTGGCCATTTGGATGATCTCTTTGGACGTCGTACCGCGAACGATGGAGTCTGAAAGGCGACTGTCAGATTCCAACCCAAGGCATAAATTCGTCGAACACACCATCAACAATCAGTACGTTTTTGTTGGCGAATTCCAGCGCCATGGCATTGAGCTTCCGCCGGACGTTTTTCCGTCGCATTTGCTGTCCGGGCATGATGAACGTCCTGCCGACATAACGGTTTTTGATGAACCCTTCACGATAAGGAAGTCCAAGTTTCTGTGCCAAGTTGAGAGCAGCAACGCGCGAGGTGTCTGGCACCTAGAAAGGGGAATTAAAAACACAGGCGCAAGGGATGAAAACTAGAAAACACACGGGAATGACCACATCAACCGACAGATTCTTCTCCTTCAGAACCCTCTGTACCTCTATCGCCAAAGCATCTCCCATAGCCATACGGCTTCGATATACACTGATACCGTCCAAGACGGAATCAGGACGAGCGAAGTACACATACTCGAAGATGTCAGGTGCGAATCTGGCCGCTTTTCCAACTTGTCTCCTGCTCACGCTAGAGCGGGTGATGATAACAGCCTCGCCTGCAGTCAAGGTATTAGAGGCCAAAGTCAGTGGGTATGATGGAGTTTGCTGACCTGGAAGAACATCCTCCCAATTGACAAAGCCACTCGCATCCGCGACCACACTCTCACTGGAGAATAGATAATCTGTACCTGAACCAGACTTCCTTGATGCCAGACCGAGCGGACGGATACCATTGGGATCTCTGAACGCAATGATACCGAAACCTGCGAGCATCGCGGTGCAGGCGTATGCTCCCTTGCACTGCTCCATCAAGCCCCCGATAGCAGTGAAGATATCCTCCTCGTTGATACGGAACTTGCCCGTCTTTTGCAGATTATCGGCGAAGATATTTAGGAGGAGTTCCGAGTCTGAAGTGGTGTTAATATGTCGGTGGGCTGTGGCGTCCATGAAATGCAGGAGCTCTGCAGTGTTGATGAGGTTGCCGTTCTGCGGAGAGTATCAATATCCGTAGGTGCAGCAGAAACAATGTCTGTGTACTCACATGAGCGAAGACGATACCGTACGGCGAGTTGACATAGAACGGCTGAGCTTCGGCGTGATGAGAACTTCCAGCAGTGGGATAACGGACTGCATCGCGATACGTCAGATCCACGCTCTGTTGGTGAGCGAGTGAAACACACCATGGCCTACGCCCATACTGCCAATCAGCTTTGACAGGGCGTTGGTGTCAAAAACGTCTCGGACCATGCCATTGGCCTTGCACTGGAAGAAGCGGCCCTTCGGACCACAGGTGATAATGCCACAGGCATCTTGACCCCTGTGCTGCAAAAGCGAGAGACCTTCGCAAATCTCTTGGGCGACATCCACCGAGGGATCATGGGAGAGCAGGCCTAGGATCCCGCACACTGTAACGAGGCTGAGAACGGGTTCGCATTAACAGATCGCACGGGAGAAAGACTCACTCCTGTGTTCGACTGGGCTGTACCGGGGGATAAATAGGAAGAGGGAGTTGCTGGAACCGAATGGCTGCGACTACTGGTATTTGAGAGACTCCATGGAGAGAGCCCAATCTTGCAATCAGCCAGAAATTTTGTCAAGCCTGTCGCATTCGGACCGGGCATGACCAGCGTTTTATTTCGGAGCACTGTCGGGGGTCGCCGCATTTCTCCCCAACGACTTGGGTTCGTCGCTGGAGAGGCCGTGCGCTGTGCTTTCTGCGCAGCGTGTTGGGCAGGACGACCACTTCAGAGTATATTGTGTCATAACGCAGTAATTTACGGCGACGAGCAAGGCTGCAGCGGGGGAGCCCCCGGGGGGACGGCTGGGGTCGGGGGAAGTCGGCACGCGGGGTTGAAGCTGAGAGTGAAAATAAACTTTATACGTGGACGGGCGCAGGTGCTGCTCGCTGTCTCTCATCCTCTCCTCCCCATCGTCGACGTCGTCCACCATGCTCACTTCACGCGGCGTAACCCGCCTCTCGCGCAGAGCGCTGCAGAGTGCGAAGAAGACTAACGCGTTCTTCTCATCCACTGCTGCCGCACCCATCCTCGCACGGGCTGCTTCCGTTCCTTCCTCCTCGTCGCACCAACAGGCTCGTCCTGCCACCGCATCTCCCAAGGCCGGTTCGTACTTCATCTTTTCCTGCTCGTATCCCCCTCACTCACGCGTTTTCACTCCTTCTCTGTGCTCCCGTCGTTTGTCGTCGCCGTTATATCCGCATTAGCCCGCTCCTATGCTACCGAAGCAAAGACAACCGGCCACGTCAAAACCGTCATTGGTGCCGTCGTCGACGTGCAGTTCGAGAGCGAGACCCTTCCCCCCATTCTCAACGCTCTCGAGGTGACGGACTTCCACGGTGGCCGTCTTGTCCTCGAGGTCGCCGCCCACCTTGGTGAGAACTCCGTCCGTACCATTGCCATGGACGGTACCGAGGGTCTCGTTCGTGGCCAAAGGGTCGTCGACACCGGTGCCCCCATCAAGATTCCCGTCGGCAAAGCTACTCTCGGTCGTATCATGAACGTCATTGGCGAGCCAATTGATGAGCGTGGTCCCATTGAGGGCGTCAAACTCTCCCCAATTCATGCTGACCCCCCTGCGTTCGTCGACCAATCAACCACCGCCGAGGTACTCGAGACCGGTATCAAGGTCGTTGACTTGCTCGCTCCCTACGCTCGTGGTGGAAAGATTGGTCTTTTCGGTGGTGCTGGTGTCGGCAAGACTGTGTTGATTCAGGAACTCATCAACAACGTCGCTAAGGCCCATGGTGGTTTCTCTATCTTCTGTGGTGAGTCCTGTGTTTCTTTCACCATTGAAGCGTTTTTCTCACATGGAACATAGGTGTCGGCGAGCGTACTCGTGAGGGTAACGACTTGTACCACGAAATGATTGAGACCGGTGTCATCAACCTCCAGGGTGACTCCAAGGTCGCCTTGGTCTTCGGTCAGATGAACGAGCCCCCTGGTGCCCGTGCCCGTGTCGCTCTCACCGGTTTGACCATCGCCGAGTACTTCCGTGACGAGGAAGGCCAGGATGTGTTGTTGTTCATCGACAACATTTTCCGTTTCACTCAGGCCGGTTCCGAGGTGTCTGCTCTTCTTGGTCGTATCCCCTCCGCTGTCGGATACCAGCCCACGCTGTCCACTGACATGGGTGGCATGTACGTTGCTTTTCCCCAACCATGCCTCCAAAGGGTTGCTGACGTCCCTCTCACAGGCAAGAGCGTATCACCACCACGAAGAAGGGCTCTATCACCTCTGTGCAGGCCGTGTATGTCCCCGCTGATGATTTGACTGACCCTGCTCCTGCCACAACCTTCGCTCACTTGGATGCCACGACTGTGTTGTCTCGTTCCATTGCTGAGCTCGGTATCTACCCCGCTGTCGATCCTCTGGACTCCAAGTCCCGTATGCTCGACCCCCGTATCGTAAGTTCTGTTCCTCTGAGCCTTTCTGACTGTTACTGATACCGAGTTTTATGCAGGTCGGTCAAGAGCACTACGAGGTTGCAACTGCTGTCCAGAAGATCCTTCAGGACTACAAGTCGCTTCAGGATATCATTGCTATCTTGGGTATGGATGAGTTGTCGGAAGAGGATAAGTTGACTGTGCGCCATTCCATTTTATCTTCGGTAATATACGTTGACGCGCCTTTGCATAGGTCGAGCGTGCTCGTAAGATCCAGCGTTTCATGTCCCAGCCTTTCGCCGTTGCCCAGGTCTTCACTGGCTTCGAGGGTCGTCTCGTCTCGCTCAAGGACACCGTCCGGTCGTTCAAGGAGATCCTTTCTGGTCAACACGATTCCCTCCCCGAGTCTGCATTCTACATGGTATGCATTTCGTTCATAACGTGTGTGTTTGTTTCCTAACGCAATAATTTAGGTCGGCACCATTGAGGACGTCAAGATCAAGGCCGAGCAGCTTGCTAAGGAGATGGGTGATTCATAGTTCAATTTACTCGTAGACAGGATATGTAATGGATCTGCTGGCTTCCGTTGGGTGCTCCTGCACATCCTACAAAATGTGAAAGTCACGCGTTTCGTCCCTTTCATCTTACTGCTGGCTGTGTAGTGTGTGTGAACTATTCTGCTTGTCCCGAACCCTCTTGTCAAAGGGGAAACGAACTTGCGAGAGGGGTCACTGCGAAGGAAAAGAATCAACGATATGTCGTGGGTTCAATGCAGTCTCGTTCTTGAGGGGGTCTCAAGTTGCGTCTCTCCTTCACGAATCAAATTTTCAAGTTCAACGTTCATCCACCATCTCCTACCGGCCTAAAAAGAGATGCCAGGAGGGCGGATCGAACGCCCGACCTTCAGAATGCACCACTTGATTACTTGGAATGGCATATTTCCTAGGCCATGCCACTTCAAATAATTAAGGGCAACTTCAGTCTGCTGCTCTCCCAACTGAGCTATCCCGGCTTGGAGTGAGGTGTGTATTGTCTGTCCATTATTGATCGCTGACGGAACCTTCGTGCAATGTGTTGAGGACTTTGACCTCGGTGGTTGGAAGTTACGTACGTCTAGTCCGACCTGCCAAGTGCCATAGGGTGGTCTCATTGTAAACATGATCAGAACGAAGTAGCACTGGGATTGAGACTTGTGACGTTGGGTAAATACAATTGTGGTGGCAGACATCGTATTATGTACTGTTAATCATTGCTCTAGAGTATTTGCATTTGCAGGCGGCAGGCCGTCGATATAGGCAGAAGTGAGGTCAAAGAATGTCCATAGCAAACCGTGGGTGGTGACGCTTCGCAGCGCGCTCACACCCAGGCCCCGATAGATACGAGCCATACCCAACAGGAAGGGTTTGGGCGCATTAGGGTCTGGCCCTGTTTTGTCGGAAGGTCAGTGACAGTCGCGGCGCAGGGATGGTGCTGATGCTTACCTCTTATTAAGCGATGAAGTGTTTCAAGGATTGGACGATACCTCTCTCCAGCCAGCGCGCGTTGTTGTACCTTGGTCTTCACGCTGTGGGAACAATGACGCTGTTCGTCGGAAAACTCTTCAAAATATGAAATGCAAGGACTTACACGTCGAGAGGATATATCAACGCCCAGGACGTTACACCAGCAACCGATCCACAGAAGAACGGAACCAGGGAAGAGTGGAGAGGCAGCCAGTACGGTGACTCGCCTTGTTCTCCTGACGGAAGGCGACCCATTATGTGACGCAAGCCGTCATATTCAAAGAAATAGAGAGCCGTGCCAAGCGTATCACGCACTACATATTACAGTCAGTTGGCAAGGGCATCGTAGAGCGAGTCACTCTTACCGAAATGCAGGCGAAAACCAGTGTACAATCCGAGAAGGCCATTGCTTCGGAAGATGTCGCGAATAGCTTCAGCCGTACCCGGAGGCTTGATGAGACGAATGCCCTTGCTTGCAGCTATGGAGTATTCCAACTGTCGTCGGACCTGATCTCGAAGCGTGAGCTGGTGATTCAAGCGTTGCGTAACCATGAACCACCTTGACAAGCTCAAACGCTGTGTACATGGTAAGTATATGGTGATCACAACAGGGAGTAGATGCAAGTTACTCACGAGCACTTCCAAATGAGATCAAGGACCCAGATAGAGCACCGCTGATACTAATGTGTCAGGAGACTTACACAATGTCCTCAAAGTTGATACGCACCCAATACCACCGCTAGCAGCAACATCAAATATGCGTTTTCGAGCCAAGATGTTGTGGTCTCGGAAGTACTCTTTCGTGCGGGTATATATCGTAAATGAAGCAGCCCCTGCAACGACATCCCATAGTCATCGAGACAGGAGCCAATATCAGCGACCATTGAGAGCAAAGATGTCAAAAGTACGCACGAACAAACGAGATCGTCATAAGTGGTATCCATAACCCTCTGTAAAACCCTCTCACTCCTTCCTCACGATATACCAATGCCGCGAGCCTCGGGATGGAAATGGGCGTTTTCGTGGTCTGCAACCTGGACTTGATGGAGTCCAACTACAACACGAAACAACCAGTTAACACTGTCGCTTTGGTGGAATGAGATACCATAATAGAAGTACTTACCGGATAACCAGCGAATGTCGAGATGTAGCTGGCCGAGATGGCGCACACAACGGCTTTGTTTCCTACAGAACATGGACGGACAGGTAAGAACGCGCGCAGGTAGCATTGACATCATCGTGCTCATACGTCGAAGAGACTCATGGAGGGCGGCCGAGTCGAAGAGATAGATTGATGGCCTGTGAAACAAGGTCCCATTAGCACCAGGCGGCAAATATGCAGTCGTGGATCAACACCTTTTCTCACTCATAGGATGCTCTTACAGGGCCGGTAAGAGTCCAGGTCCGTGCTGTAGCACGAGCGAGAGTGATTTGGACGACGTACTGACGAGACGACGAGGAACGGAGAGGTGGAAGAGGGGAAGTGGTGATGGTTTGAGCGAGCAGAGTCAGGACTCGGAAGTTGTAGATCGCGCTAAACTCTCGGTGGAGCATGTTTACTCGAATATAACTCCGGCTCAATTACCCCGTTTCACGCTATTCTATCCTCGCAAAAGCACACTTTCGAAGCTACTATACGGTGGTCTACGGCTATACTGGTACTCAGACCATACATCTAAAACCCACTGATCCTCTTCTTCATTGGCTTCTTCTTGATCGGCGGAGGTCGACCCCCATGAGGTCCAGATAACACCTGAGTACTTGCAAACGGGGTTTGAGAGTGAGATAGATCCATGCCCATGGCAGCAGGTTGGCTCCCTCCCAGTATTTCTCGCCTGATCTCCTGTGGCTGGCTGGCTGGAAACTGTCTTGGAATAGGGCACTCCTTGGCTGCGATGACTGGTGGTCGCATGGATTGGATAGGTGGCGGCATCATCTCGGACGGCAGAACCATAGGAGGAGGTCGCGGACGCACAAAAGCCTTGACGGCGCTTGGTCGCTGGACGACGCCGTAGGGATCTTCGTACACATAGTCTCCAGGGTCCGTCCCAACTTTCCAATCATCCAGCAGGAGGCGGACCCCAAGAGGGCAGATATTCTGGTCAGAATTTCCGTTCGTGGAGTTGGGGACGTCCTCTAGGTCGTCTTTCACTGGTCGGAGAAAGCCAAACGCGACTGGAGGTGGCTCTGTATCCCCCAAGGACAAGGCTTCGGTAGCACGGGACATGGCGTCGAACATATCCTCATCTTCTTCAGTCCTCCGATTCGTCTCGCTGAATCCCGAGCAAAAGATGCTAGCAGACAGCGTCAGGTCAAGGGCGAGCTGCTCACGCGCCTCCGCTTCTCTTCGATATGATGGGGCTGGTCGATCCTCTTCTGTCGTGAGATCATACCTGGCTAGCGTGTTGGCGAGAACAGCAGGGTCACTTGACATGTCTGGGATAAAGTGTGAAAGATTGGCTGTGATATCACAGTGCCAAGGAGAGCGTCGCATCAGCTGGTCTCGAGGAATGCGGCCTTGGACCAGAGCACGAAAGCCTCGTACTGAACTAAGTGCGGTATCCTTGAAGAAATCCGCTCTCGATGAATCCAGCGGTTCCTCTCCAGATGCAAACGCGATATCAAAGCTAATTATTCTATGAGGCCTATGTCTAAAGGGCGTGAAGGATGACTTACGTTGTCAGAGCGTGTTCCACAGGAACCTCACGATTTCCCCAAAAATCAGGCATGACATCCAGCAGATTATATACGGCGTCCGGATCATCAGCTGTGCTAAAATTCATGAATATTTCTACGACGCAGCTGTTAGCACGAAGCGCCATTACGAGAATGAATGGATTGACTACCTTTGTATGCTTCACTGAAATCAAACTCCTCCCGATTCCGACGGCCCAGTGGACCAGAACAGGTGCGCCGTGATCCTTGTTCTGCAACTTGTCGGACCTCTGCAGAAAACTCCGCAACGGTGGGCTCAATCAAACAAACGTCTCCGACATCATCAAGGAGCAGTTTAACATCCATTCGATGAAGACTGCCCCTGTCCGACAGCCGCAATAATGTAGCGATTGTATCGATTTCCTCCGCTGGATGGCGAAAGATGACTTCGCCCCGTGTTCTTCGCTCCAATCCATGGATACCGGGGAGTGAGTATGGTGCATTAGCTAGGTGAAGAAGACCCCCCTCGTTGTATGTGACATCGTAAACGGTGAGCAGACCATTCCGACGAGAAGATAGGAAGGCGAATGGAACTGGATGACTACGTTCAGCAATTTACAAAGTTCAGAAGTTGCAATGAACCCACTGTCATCAAAGTTCAAGCTTTGTAATTGTAGATTTTGATCTGACTGCCGACCGTGTTTTACGGCCAAAACTGGTCGTTGAGGAATTCTTGGATCGATCCATAGGATTCGGGTGGTGGTCAACACTGGTGTGGGACCATCATCACAAGGGCCGATAGACGTGAAGACCTCCGGACCCAACGGAAGTGACATTAAGAGGTCAACAGCATGTGTCTACATCGATGCGTGAGTATCTCTCTTCAAGTAGCGTCGATAGAGGCATATACCTTAACGTGGATGGTGCTGAGATGCTTCTCGGATAGTAATAAGAGACTGTCGGGCTCCGTCCGACGTTGAAGCCGAAAGATACTTGATGTTATCTTCGTCTCATTCGGTACAAGACATTCACTGGACCAGGGTGAATGAATGAAGCGTTTGCGAGGATCCATCACGTACACTGTTTGATACCCACGGCGCGTCGTGGATTTGTATACTCCGCCGTACTCGGTTACGACAAGCAGGACGACCTCGTCACAGGGTGTAAACACAAAGACCATATCCACAATGGTCCTGTTTCCAACATCGGCCTGCTGGATCTCCGACAAAACCTCCACAACACCCCCTTGTGACGGGTGGGACACCCTCATAACATGCACACACTGCATTGTGCGGACAGCGAAGGCGGTGACTGATTGAAAAGAACACGGTTAAAGCTAGTGGGGACTTGCGCATACGAATACATACCATCACCTCTGCGTAAAAATGCGTCGCCAACGTTCGCAGAGAGAATCTGTCGTATAGGAGACTTCAACTCTTGTGGCGGGATGTTGCCAGAGAGCTTCGACGATAGTCCATCTTGTTTACTATATGGAATAAGGCTAATGTCTGTTGTGCGTTCAGCCCTCGAGATCATGGCAGATAAGAGACTGCTCACTCAAAACGCTGCTTGTTCCTCCACTGGGATATGCCAGGAAGGCAACGGGAGCGGTACCTCGAGCACCATTGCATGAGATGACGGCCAAGGCGTTCCCAGCGCACGGGTCATACAGGCGTAGGCTCTCCTCTATTCTTTCGTCTTCTTCAATATAGTCCCTGATCAACTCAGCGGATACCTCTAGGTCGGAATAGTGTGAACGGAGAAAATGGGCCTATGTGATGCGATTAGTGGGAGCTATAAAACGTAAGCTATAGTGAACACTTCACTGCTTGCTCAATTCGAAAGAATCTTGTCG